AGATAGATAGATAGATAGATAGATAGATAGATAGATAGATAGATAGATAGATAGATAGATAGATAGATAGATAGATAGATAGCAATTTTGAATTGTTAAATGCAAGTTCTTCTTCAAGGATTGTCCAAATGCCCAGTCAGCAAGCCTTACATAAAAATACTTCCAGGAATATGTTTGTGTATTATTAAAATATATCTAGCCAAAAACCTTTTATTTCCATTAACTACAGTAGCCTTTTGTTTACATTAAATCATATGTAGCTAAGTGGATGACATAAAACACAAGACTCAACATGTTACAATTTCAAACATATTCGTGGAACCTAAAATTGTTTTTATTATAAACAGTATCTTGAATTCATAAATGACTCTAGATTACAGCTGTCTGTTTTACTTTGAACAACCCCTTGACTGCACTTCTTCGAATTGGACCTGCGTCAAGGCTGCGTAGTGAAACCCGCACCCCCTCCGCCTGACACAAGATGGGGGAAACCTGCAGGACCTAATGGAATCTTTGGGATTGAAGCAGTGCAGGAAATATGTGAAAATATGTTATTCTGCATAGAAAGGAAACAAAAGCTACAATCCCATAAATAAATTAAAGAAAAGAAGGAAAATTAATTTGCATTGGCAAGAATAAGTTAATAAAAAATGTCAATTGTGTAATGCAGTTGTGCTTGAAAGTTTACATACCCTTCCATCAAAAGCAGGAAAAAAACAGCTGCCAGTAAAATGAATTGAAATTGACAAAGTAATATAGAAAAACTATAAACAAAATAAAAATAATGACATTGATTTAGAATACCTACCTATGTATGTATTAAAATAATAAAACAAGAAAAAGAGGCTGTTGTTGCGCCGTACTTTTCTTTAATGTTTAGTAAAACTTCTTTTGACAGGTATGTCAGCTCACTGTTTGTTTTTTTTTAATAAACTTCAAAATTGATGTTTTAGTTTACTAAAATACAATTCATTCTTTTTTTTCTGTTTTGTGTTATTTGAATCACTAGTGAATATTTATCATTTTATTTAAAGAGAGCGTATGTACATAGTTAAATGTGTAAATCATCCATTTTAAACTTGGTTGGTAGCTAAAAAATTACTATTTTGAAAAAGTTTTTCATTATTGCATGTTTTATATGCAACCCAGCCAGACATTTAATTGCTCAACAGGCAGAGTAGCTTAACTGCAAGCCAATCACTTTGATTAACCAAAATAATAAATTTGACACATAACAAATTATTCCAAAAAAGTAACACATTTAAACTAATTAAAGATTTCTTAAAATGATTTCCATATTATTTATTTTCACATTTAAACATTAATATAGCTATATAAACTTTATTTTGTAAAGAAAAAACAGAGTAAACCTTAGCTTTATTCCCAGTCATTACATACAACACACCCCTCCTGCACACACGTCTCTCTGCTGTGTAAGACGAGAAACATGCCACCAAACAGATGACACAGATTGACCCAGGCTGCTGTCATATTTTACACCTTGTGCAGGGCTGCTTTGTAACCTATGCAGAGAACACATGACATGGTTAGATACCTTTGAGTCGTGCTTTAATGCATGATGAGTCAGGAAAGCCGTTGCTCAGCAGGTGTTAGGTAATGAAAACACCTTTCTCTGATCATTCTAATCAAGAAACATATCTTATTAAGTTGACATTGTGCAGATCTGCTGACAAGTAGTCTTTAATTTAATTTTTAACTTATTTGAGCATTACTTTTATTTATTTTTTTTGCATTAGATCTCCATGTTTAAGTTTTTTTTTTTTATTCCTTCATTTGGATCAAAAATCATGACATGCCTGTTTAAATTCTCACTCATTTGGCTGACAGCAACCACAAAACAGGGTTCACTTGGAAGTCTTTAATTTGGTAGTCTTAATACCAGGGACCTACAAATAAAGACCAATATCTGCATTTTGACTCACATCCACTAGTGGAACACAAACCTTCTGTTATCAGAACTCTGAGTTACCAGCTTGACAATATTTCCTAAAATAGGGAGGAAAAAAACCCAAAGAACACAAAAAGTTTAGGAAATCACTTGAAGCATGTGGTTATCCAAACTGGGCATTTGTTAAATGGCCAAGAGAAGGATTTAGCGGGTATTTTTATATCCAACAACATACTCATGCAAAATCTAGTTAATCCTGACATTGACAATCTTGACATGTGATCCAGTGTAGCAAGGACAGCATGTACTGCCTCATATACAGGATAAAACACACAACAGCTACACAAACACATGGCACAGTATAGGAGAGCCAGTTGCTCTGAGTAAGAGTCAGCTGAACACTGGAAACCTCAAGAACAAAGGACACTCCTTTGAAGAACAAAATGTTCAGATTTTGGACAGAGAAGACAAATGGTTTGAAAGAGGGGTGAAGGAAGCCGTCTTTGTGAAAAGGGAAAAACCATCCCTGAACAGAAAGGGAGGGTTTCAATTTCGGCCTCCAAGCACCTACAATTCAGTTAAGAACAAATGAGTCAAATAATCCAGGAGAATGACTGATAGCTATTTGATTTGCATCTAATTTTTGGAATGTGCTTAGGAGGATGGACCTCCATGCTACTTAAATACACCAACCAGGTAAGGAGACTGGCACAGGGAGGCAACAGGGAGGAACTCAAAAATATGCAACACTGTTAAAATATAACACAAAATGGAAAAGAAAGCAAAGACCAACAAAACAGAATGACACGAATAACTGAAAACTCAAAAATAAACTCAAAAAGAAGTCCACAAAGCAGAACCATGTCAGTTTTGTGGGAGTCATATTAGAAACATTTGGTCATAGATGACAGACAGCCCTTTTTATGTGTAACGTTTGGTCCGTTTAAAGAACAACAGCTACTGTTAACAGTTAAGATGGTAGGATGCAAGAACAACAAATATCAATTCTTTTGACTTCTGGTTTTCACTCAAACTGACAATGAAGGTTCAGTTTGACTGAAAAGTGAGCACTCTTTGCTCTCTGTTGTCTGTTTTGGTTTACCCATCTTAATTAATTCTGTTGGCCCTCCCTATTCTGCAAGCTGTGGTTTTCTTTGTTCAGGTCCCTTAATTACTAGGTATTGTAAAGTTAATTTCATCTTGTGTAAGATCAATCATTAGTCATAATTAAAGCTGGAAGGCAGTGTTTGCAAAATTTGAACTTAAATTGTGTGTTTTAGACCTACTTTTTTGTGGACTCATGCAAAAGACTGCATTCAATTACACTCATTTACAAAACAAGTTATGAATTCTTGCTTACATTTGGAAGTTTTTACATTACTGGGTAATATGTGTTCAGTTTTTCAGGTGTGCTCTTGAGGTGCATTCACAGGGTGTGCATGTGTCCCCATGTAAAGGCATTTTCAGAGGCCAGCTAATGGTCAGTGATGAGACACACACCTTTGATCAAGCAAAGTTAGTGTTTTACAGGCTCTAATATTTTAACTAAAAACCTATGACAAAGGATATAAACTGAAGAGAAGAGTTGTTTATCATTCATTTTCACTTTACAAGGATTTCTATAAAAATAAACAAGGAGGGTTTTTTTCTTTTCCAAAATAAAGGAACGAAAGGTCATGTGATTATCCAAAGCTTTTAAGAGTTACAGTTTTTACTAATAATACAGCTGGAAGCCCTTAAATCTGTCTGACTTGCATTTTCTTTACAACAGGAATTTTGACTGATGCAGGGCTAAATGAGATATTTGTAGAAATAAAGAATAAGGCTTATAAGTAAGCTTGCTGTAATGTGCTTGTGCATCCCTTACAAACCGTGAAGCGCTCTTCATGCCTCCAAATGGTCAAAAATTCAGCGCATGTACGGTATGTGGAAATAATGACCTTGCTGTCAGCTTTTCTAAATGTATGCTAAGGTGTGTCTACATTGCACCTGGATAAATTGGAATATCAGCAAAGATTTTACATATTCTCTAATATAGTTTGGTAACTGTAAATGTTAAACTGTATTGCATACTCTATTTATTTTTCTGTTCACATTGATTTTTGATTTGAAGCTAATGAAATCTGTTTCCTAAGAGAGGGAAAGCCATGGCAGATCATTGCATAAAACACTGGCTGGACAGAGAGCTGTATACAAGTATATGAAAAGCAAGTTTAGTGACAGAAATAAATTGCATAAAAAACAAGGACAATGAAATTAGAGGACAAGAAACTTCCATATAATTCAAATGATTACATTTTCTGATAAGTTTAATGAATAAATATGCTTATTTGCTGAATTATAAAAATAATTCAAGCATTTATCTTATGCATTAAATTTCCAGAACTAATTCTGCAGACTTTAGTATCCCTCTGGTTGTCATTTCCCCAGTACCAAAAATATGGATCATAAGCTGGACCTTGTGACCAACTCTAAACAAATGTTTATGCAACCAGTTTCATTATGTTAAAACATAAAACCCCACAGGTGGCAAATAATTACCCACATTCCTAAAATAACCTTATGCAAAGCATAGCTGCAATTTTTTTGACTAGATTTTTTGTTGTCAAATAATCCAACTCAAAAGTTTTTTTGCAAAACTCCTGCATAAGTTGATCAAATAAATAGGGAACTTGAGTCAAAAATGATTGTACCGCCCTCTAGTGGATAATTTCTGAAGTTACCCTAAAATGTTGGCAATTCTTAGTAACCAAGAATGCCAATATCAACACAACCAACACAAGGTACACAGGTCAATAGTAATATATATTTTCAGGACATTTCAAGAAAAATACAGTTTTTAAGTCAAGCACTGCAAATATCGCAAATCAGAACAAAAAAAGTCTAAAACAAACCCTGTTGGTTTACATTAAAAACATCCCCATATCTGACACATCACATTTAAAGCTCACTTTAAAGCATAGGAAATACAATAAATAAATAGTAATGCTAATAGTGCCATCCAAAATAACTTACATGAGTTTGCTTAAAAACGCCACATCCTTTATAACAAATATGACAAATTCTAAATATTTCTGATTTACTTCTTTGCTTTTTGAAAACACTTCTTTCTTCTCAGTGCTATAACAGACATTCGGCTGTCTCAAGGTTTTAAAGAAATGTTGAAACACAGTTGCTTATTGTATCTCTGCTTCTTTCTGTATATCTGCTTCTGTGTCCTTGATCCCCAGTCTGCTTATAGACATCAATGATACTTCATATATCTTTAATCTTTCCAGGTAGGAAGGTGTTTGGTGCAAGCATAATGATCAGAGGACAGGTCTAACACAGTGAGGTTCTGTTTTTCTTTCCCAGAAACCAGTGGATACTTGTAGAATGAGAAAAGTGCTTTTCTTTTAGTCATGAGGTTTACATCCTCTGGATCTCAAAAAGGCGCACGTCGGTGTCGTACCAGATGGGAGGATCCACATTGCTGGAAAAAAAAACATGACATTTTATAAAATGGTTTAGCCAACATAAATATTAGATGCTGATATGAGAATATTTTCTAAACAGAAAATCATTTATAATAAAAAAAGATCATGAAGCATAATAAGGATTAATCTTTGTTCCAATATATTTTTTATACACGCCAACCATTATGTGACATCACCGAGAGGCAGCTGTCATGCCAGCTGTTGCTAAGCTGGACAGGTTACACCGTGGACAGGGTGTTAGTCTGTCGCAGGGCAACAAAGAGACATACAACCATGCAGACGCACACTCCATGCAGCCTAAAGACATTTTAAAGACACCAATTAACCTAGAAGTCATGTTTTTTGATTGTGGGAGGAAGCCTGAGTATTTGGTGAGAACCCACACATACACACAAAGAACATGCAAACTTCATGCAGAAAGACCTTAGAAAAGGATTTAAACAAAGGGTGCTGCAAGGCAACAGTGTTACAAACTGCACCACCGTACAGCCCATGCCATAAGCCATTTAATGATTCTGAACATTGGTGGTGGAAGATGCGGTTTTGCTCTGCTGTGCAGAACCACAGGCTGCAAAACACTCCCGGTGTTGCTCCCCCTCCCATGTTTGTTTTACAGGTTTTAAGATTGCTGCCTTCCCCCTGGTCCATGGAACACCAATAATGCCACATTCGAGAGGATCTCCCAAATGTTGTCCCAGCAGGCTTAGAGCCAAAGACAAAATGGCGACGGAACCACACTCTTCAGCCTGCTTGATTCAAGCGTTTTCAGGCCATTTAAGAACCAGATTGCTACAGAACAGATACTACTTTTAATATATTTTAGAGTTTACATGAGTAACCCAGAGGTCTCAGCCTTGCTGAACCAAGAGACCCAAAAAGGACAAAACTATAATTACTAGCTAGGTAATCTGAACATGGGCCCACTAAGAAAACAGCTTAGGCGAAGCTTTTCTGAAATTTGGAGGTGCTTAGGGTTGCCAAATATCTCTTAAAAAGTGTATTGTCTAATCTCAGGTTTGATTTAAATGAAAAGGCAAAACTAAAGTCATAACATTGGTGGGGTGGAAGAAAATGCCTGGCTCCAGCTCTGGCAAAGTAAGGGAAAGAAATTCCAGCTGAACAATTTGGGTTTTGATGATTATTTTCTGATGTTTTCCTGTTTTTACCTAAAAAGCACACCCAGCTAAAGAAGCAAAAGGATCCCTACCATTAACTATTCCCTCCAGAACAATCACATAAGGTCAACAATTAATTGTACAAATAGTTATTGATTGCTTATTTGGCAAATCCATTAATACAGATATATAATATTTTATTTACCTCTTGGATTTGGATCATTAATTAGTTTGAACAGATTCTAATTGCTCTAAATAAGTATAAAAGCCAATATGACCTCAGATCAAACTCTTCAAGATAAACTTTGGTGCTCCAACATAAAATCCATGACACACTGTAACATCATTGCTTTATTTATTTTTTTATGTTTTCAATTATTTCATTTCTTTTCCTATGTACAATGGAGCCTATTAGTTTAGTTGAGTTTCACTAGTTTAGTCAAGAGTTTTTAACTGATGTTAGACCTCGAGTTATAGGATTTTTGCTAGTAAATTGTTACATTTATGTTGTATATTTATTCCATATGTGCAGCTAACTGTTTGACAATGATTTGAACATAAATCTCACTTCCATTTGTTGTTTTTACAAACAGCCTGTTTGGCGTGTTTTCATAGAACAACACAAACCGGAAGTAATTTTAATTAAATAAAGTTATAAGAGCATTTAAAGTAGTTCTAGAGAAATCTAATTTTTTTGTTGACTGTGGCTCCCCCTAGTGGACAAAGACTATTGTTTTGCCTAAAGAGTGCTGTGATAAATATGACATGTCATATTTGAATCTCATTAAAATTATACAAGCTACATGTAATTTGTCAAAAAATAATAATTTTTCTTTAAAAAAAATTTAATAAACAGAACACTGAAAATTTTTTAAGCTCAGTTTGGTTTTGTCATTGTTCTTTGTATCATAAGTGATTTTATGCGTTAATCATAAAATGCATTGTTTCATACATTTTGTATTTTTATAAAGGTTTAAATTTGCATCAAATTTGAAAAAAAAAAAATTTTTGTGGTGACAATTTAGAAAAACAGGTTGAGGTCTCGACAATATTTGTATCAAAACCAATTCAGTGTATGCATTTTATTTAAAAAAAAGCATAATTTTCATACAGTCGTGCATAAACATTTATACTTACAGAACTTAAAAACAAGGACAGAGAATTTAAATCTGTCTCCCACTTTATTTTCTTATCATTCTCTTCTTTATAACTTCTGTACAGTACTTTGCTTTAAATCTACAGTATGCACACAGAGAACCTGAAACAACAGAGCAAGATGAATTTCAAAATCTAATTTTCACTTCTAAGCTAAAGTTTAGTCCTAACTTCCTTCCAGTTAGGATTCATTTGATAAAAATATCAGGTGCCATATTCAGGTGTCTAAAAGTGTTAGATATATTGCCTGACTTACCGCAAATAAACAACACCCCACATGTAAGTACGGAACCACATGGCTGTACCAGCATTGGCCTGATATTTTCTGATCAGGATGGGGTGAGGAACCGGCAACAGTCCAACCAACGTGCCGTGTTGGAGAAACTTCAGGATCTCGGATTCATCTGTCAGGCCCCTGGAATGAAACAGGAATCAAACATCTGCATTATTTCTGACATGTTTTTTTAAAGGTTCAATCGGATTTCTGCAATTCTGGAAATGAAACCGACTTATCAATGCAGATCTTCTCCACCTGGGGAACGAGTACTTGTAGGAGACGCATAATAGTCTGCAGGGGCAACTTGCATTTCCAAGATAAAATCTGTGACAGAAAGAAAATGTTTAATTGGTTACCTTGTAAAATAACCAAAATATATCTAAAAACAGTTTTATAGTTTGCTCACCCACTCTGGTGTGGGAACCCATAACGAAGTCGAAGAGGCATTCGATAAACGCCTTCTTTCCATTTCTGCCTCAGTGTAGAAAACATCCTAATATTGCCCAGATATTGATTAGCTAAATTACCATGAAATGTAAGGAAAGCACACTGAGACAATAACAGCAGACTTACTTCATTGTCTCTGCCTGAGTTTGACTCTGTGTCACTGGTTCCAGCAGCTGCACTTTGGTCTGAGCAAACTGTCTGTGGAGAATCCAACTTTGGGATGGAGACCATGGTCCCGTCCTCCGATACCTGCGACTTCTCAGTCAGTTTATCAATACCTGAAAGATTTCATGGAATTAAGAACAATTAAAGTGGAAAAGTTCTGAGAGCTTTCCTATTTATAAAAAGAATGGTCTGAAAAGCTGAGGAGCTGGTTGGATTTTAACTCCTTTGTGGCGCAACCTACTTACAGTAATACAGCAGCTGAATTTCTCCTCATAATTTCAAACAATAAAGGAAAATGTTTTATAATTTAAGTTGCCCCAAACATTTCACTGCTTAAATGTGAAGTTCCTTTGTTTTCAGAACAACAGAACACAGAGTTAAACAGCAATAAAACATTGTAAGATTTTTTTTTGTCTTAAATTCAAAAAGTGCTAATCTTTGAGAATCTGATAGCTATCAATTTCCACTTGTAAGAACATATATAAATGCAAATACAAAAAGCTACTATAGTACTGTATGAAATATAAATGTGGTTCATAACTATATATTATTACACACACACACACACACACACACACACACACACACACACACACGTCCACCCACTGTGCCTAAGGCCCCAAGTACTGAAGGAAGTAACCCTACCCCCAAAGAAAAGAACTTGTGAAAAATCCTAATTAATATTATCACAATAAATATATATATATATATATATATATATATATATATATATATATATATATATATATATATATATATATATATATATATATATATATATATATATATATATATATATATATATATATATTTATGGATAATAGCAGATATAAGCAAACCAAAAACATGTTCAATAAAAAGATTGACCTGTCTCCAGTCTCCATATAAAACTTGTTTAAATTTGGAACACAACAAAATCCCACTGAATTGTTCTGCATTAAATGAAACTGCTAAAAATATCAAATCATAATTCCCCCATGTACCTAAGACACATTTAATTATGCAAGTAGAAAGAGCCACACTGGATATCTTCTCTCAATACTACTGCAGTTAAAGTATATCATTACAAAGTCCTAGCGGATACATTTGGCCAGCTGTGAATCTAAATATAAAAAATTGGTGAATTATGTAATAAAAAGATGACTCTAACCACTGAGCAGCTGCTCTTCTAACACAGCATGGAACACACTAAGCTTTCAAAACAGGAACTTGCTCCTCAATTCCAAAAAGAGCTGCTCCAAAAATGGGTTCATGAATTATTTCAGCTGTTATAGCTACTGAAGGAGCTTTTGGATTTCTTATAAAATAAAGAAAAGGCATATATTAATTATGTGATGATTGAGCTTAAAGTATTCTGTTGAAAAGCAATTACCTGGTATAGCGACTAAGCTTGTCTTCAATGTACCCGGCTCTGCTGGCACTGCAGGGTGAGAGCCCTCCATGGACACAGTCTCTTGAGAGCTTGTGCGTGAAATCACATCTGGTGACTTCTTTTTCCTTTGCAAAGCCTTTTGGATTGTAGCGGGGTCAGAGGGCAGGTTGGCCAGCTGATGGAATACATTGCGTTTGCGGATGATGGCATAGACCAGATTACAGTTTCCTGGCAGTGAGATAAAAAAAAAGACTTTTAGAAACAAGCAAAAGGAAAACAGGTTCCACATTACCTCAGAATGGATCCAACTTACCATCAAACTGATACTGAATAATATTGTTGAAAGCCTCCAGAAGGAAAAAGACAAGGTGATGGTTCTGAGCAACAGAGAACAGAAACCAGGTGGTGGAAAAAGCCTCCAGCAGGTGGAGTAGTTTATTTGCAGCAACCATGGACAGGCTTTTCAAGTAGGGGGAAACTGCAACAATATATAAAAAAAAAAAATATATATATATATATATATATATAAAATTTTTTACCATTTGTGAAAACTCCATAATAGCATGTAGCTTCAAATATTTAGAGGAATTCCAGTAAAATAAAAACAGGAATATGGATATTCACCATTTACAATAATGGTGAGCAGGCAGTCAAATAGAGGTTGGAGGCGCTGGTGTCCAGTAGTGATAATCTTGTGAAAAACCTAGAAATAAAAAATAAAAATAAAAAAAACACACCACTAAGACTTCATATAAATTCAATAATACTCATTATCTCTGATGATTAAGTATGGTGTCTCACCACGATTAGGAGGTCTGCATGCGTCCCTGTGAACACTGGGATGTCCATTGGAACATGGAGAGAGTACGGCTTATTTAAGCGCACACCAAAGTTTCTCTCACCACTCAGTAGGAGCAAAATAAACACACCGATGTGCATGAGTCCAACACGAGCTGCAACCAAGACACAACACAATTGGACCTATTGCAAGCTAAATATTCTTACCATTATGTAGAGCTTACTGCTTGGTGACTTTGCAACAGTTAAGACATACTGATCTTTTATGCATTTTTCATATTTTTGATAAAAGATCAGTTAGTACTGAGCATCTCCTTCAATGTTACATAAAAAAGGTTAAAAAAAAAGATCTATATCTCAATAATAATAAAAAAAAAATTGGAGTTAGTCAAAAGTCAGCCTTTCTATCTTTGCTTTTTTGTTATGTACTTGTTATGTCTGATTGCTCTAGAGGTGTTTGTTTCACATCCCCAAGATGAAGACCTACATTGATCAGCCCTGGCATCATTCAGGTAATAGAGTATAGGAACAAGAACATCCAGCACATCACTGCTCTTCAGGACAAAAAACAAGAACTTCTGTGGAGGAAAGCATAAAAGAAAAAGAAAACTTGCGTTAGTTAAGAAAAAATATGTATTCATCTGATGTCTCGCTTTGTTTTAGTGCTGATCTACCTTGTTAAAGTCGCAGAGTTTCCAGAACAGCACCAGTAACTCTTGGTGGAACTGGATTTTCTTGGTGGAATGTGGCAAATATGTCTGAGTTAGAGGATTGGTGAGCAAACGAGCGAGGCCCTTCAGCACAAAGTCAAAGTCCTACCAATTGAGAGATGCATGAGGAAATCTTTCAATTAAACACATTGAGCAAATGTTTGAATTATGTTTAAAATAACTAAACAAACCTCCTCTCTGTGAATCCGTGACAAGTAGTTGACAAAGAGATTCTCAGGGCCAGCATTCTGCACACAGATCAAGAGACATTTGTTTGGTTTTTATAGGTATAAAAAGAAACATTGCCAACAGGGCGACATTCCTTAATGCCCTCTTCTCATACCTCTAGTTCCTCTATACTGGATGAGGAAGCAGCAGGTCGGGGAACCCCTCCATCGTGCTCAAGTGTCACAATAAGGATCTGCACAGCCTGCTCTACAAGCTGCTCGCGGTAATCTGCAAACAGCAGGTGGTTGTAGGGGATACCGTAGCCCACCGGATCATAAGCACAGACCACATTAAGAAGAGATGTGAACAGAGGCAGAGCGTGTCTAGGAGAAAAACAAAACATGAAAAATCTCTTAGAGAGACATTGAAAAAGTTGCTCTGCAGAAAGGGAAATAAGGGAACTTTGAGCATGTCTACATCATGACAAAAATCATATTAAAGTGGAACTGATGAGATACAAGTTGATTTTTTTTTGGACACCAAATATTATTTTTATGATAAAATAAAGCTAACTCAGATATCCATATTTCTATATTTGAATATGAGCTACAAACTGGAAGTATTTGCAGCTTGGCTGTTTTCTATTAAGAACAGCAGGCAGTTTGACCTTTGAAATAGAGTCACATGAAAAGATGCTCAAAGTAATTTGCTGCAGAGCTAAGATTGCACATAGAAGATTCAAGAATTAAACAGCGTTTATTTTCCTACTAAGAAAAAAAAAAAAAAGTACTGCAAAATTGTCGAGTTCTTATGTGAAGACAAGCTAAAGTTTTGGCAGAGCCGGATCAAGAATCACAAGGCAGAAATCATCTGCAGTTAGCGCCAACACACTAAAGGCTTGGTTATGCTTGATGCAGGTATTTGTACACAATGGGTGTGTTCGATTTCAGAGACTACATCCTCCAAGGACGCGGTCTACATGGACTGGATCCTTTGAGGTCCGTGAAAATAAGGAGACCAGAAGAGTTTTGGCTGTGGATTCAAACAGGTTCAGCCTTCCCAACTATCACTGCCGATATGCTCTATATAGCCTAGTAACCGTGACAGTTGACACAGTTGAGATACCGAAACTCTCCATGCTGTTCTGGGTGCTAATAACATTTCCGAGGAGCTTCAACAGCAGTACCGAATCAGATTTATAGCCCCCACACTGCAGATGTATCAGAATCTGTCCTTAAATGACAGCCAAACTCATTTACACAGGGACGGATAAAAACCTTTCAATAAACCAAACGTCTTCTGCCATATATCTGACTAAATAACCATTTAAAACAACTTTTATCATTAATTTCAGACAGAACTATCCACATACTAGAATTATATTAAACTGCACTGACAATATTCACCACTGTTTGGCGCCAAGTGCCTTTTTCCTCTGAGCATGGAGCAGCCAGCATGCTTGGACTCACAATGAATCACAGGATACCCAAGGCTACGTAGGATACACAGGACCTGTCCTTTAAAACGGGCAAAAAGAAGGATGCATTTGTCGGCCGCATAACGTGGAGTCTTCCGATCCAAACAGGGCTCAGCGCCATGCTATGACATAATGGGCCTACAAATCTGGCCTTCAGAGGACGCAGCGCCTGAATTCGAACTCAGCAAATCTCTGCAGCTAATATACTCCATGCACCTTTTCTCTTTGTACCCAATAGTCTGACCGACTCTATTGGGCCTTGTACGGCACAGACTGCAAGCTACAGCACCACGTAACATGTAGAATTTGTAAGCTGATTCCAGCGTTTTAAAAGCCTCTTCATGTCAGCCAAGAGTGACAGTTTCTTTTTGCACAATCTGTTGATCATAGTGATAATTATGGGCCTAATCATGAGATGCTGTCCAACTTATTCGAGGTGCACGGTGCGGAAATTTAGAAAGCCACATGAGGATCATGGATACTTAAATGATATCATTTGGCTGTGCTGACCTCCCAGAAACAAGAAGCATAAACCAGGATTTATCCAAACATTTTTTAAGCCAACCTGAAAATTAAAAAGTTTCTTCCTGTTAAGAGGGAGTTTTTCCTCTCCACTGTCACTACAAGCATGCTTAGTGTAAGGGATTGCATTTGAGTCATTGAAGCGATGCAATCAACTGGTTTTCCTTGAGATAGAAAACTTTGAATTAATTTGACTGTATGATCTGGTGAACTGGAAAGTGCCTTGAGATGACGTGTTGTGAATTAGCACTATATGAATAAACTGAATTGAATTGAAAATAAATATATTAAGTTATATAGGATAAGTTAAATATTATTTGTATCAAAGATTTTTTTTTCATAGAGCTTAAAAAAATAATGAAGATTGTGATCTGATAGTTATTTGAATAACAGTCACCACAAAGCGTTATTGCTGAAGAAGCTAGCCTTTTAGAGTGGTGTATCTGAGCATATACATGGAAAGGTGAGTGCAAGAAAGAAAAAACAAACAAAAAAACATTGGCACTGGATTCACAAGGCTATATCTACATCTAAAAACTCTGTTTTTCAAAAGGAGAAAAAAAAAATCAGCAGTAGAAAAGAGTTCCTATCATTTCTAACAAACAGAATAACTTTTGTCCTATACAGAGAAAGAGGCATAGGAAAAACCCTCTAACTGAAATGTTGGAATTTCAGAAGATTTTTTTTCTGGCTTTTTGTTTTATTAATATTCAACATTTCAAAGAAACACACTTTTTTATCCGCTCTAAGCCAAAAATATCAAAAATAATCAACACTTGAACGGCATCACTGACCAGCTTGATGTAGATTCACAACACTCTGCTGACTATAAATTAAATCTGGTCTTTGATGACCTAATTTAAAATGATCTAAGCTTGGACCACATACAGTAAAAAGCTGTTACCTATTCTCTGTTGAGCAGAAGAATGTGACCCAGGGGTTGAGGACGCTGTTGTCAGGTGAAGGAGGTAGGTACATGGCCTCTGAGAAGCAGGTTAGTAATAATCTCAGCAGCTCTGCCCTTAAGGTTAAAACAATTGATTATTTAACAGAATAAAAATACACCTTTAAAGTTTAAAGGTTTTCAAATGCAGGTGTTTTAAGTCAACTGACCTGTTGAGATCATGGATGTAGTTTAGAGGGGGGGACTGGGCGAATCCTACCCCAGCCTCCCAGATATACTCACAACTGTCTAAAGACTGCATGCTCTCCACTGAGTCCTGAAAGGGTCACAACAAACATTTTTAAACAAAAATAATCAGGTTTAACAATTGCCAACACATAAATTAGTGAAATGGGATTTTTTTTTTAACAATACTGACATTAAAAAAATTATAGCTTGCTCATATTAGACTCTCACCGTCTTTTAAATAGAATTGTTTTAGACTACATCCTAATTTCGAGACAAAATGTAAATAAAAAAAAAAAAAAACAACACTGTAAGTGTAGGATTGCTTCCTGGCTACATTCTTTACATTCTGAAGGAGAGAAGTTGCCTTCTTTCTGGTATGACCAGCAGAGCATTGCTTGTCATTATCCTTTGGCAAAACTAGAGTGACAGGTTAGTGAGTCTACTTCAGATCAGGAAGAAGGAAACAGTGCTGAAAAAACAGGTTCTAACCTTTCATTCATGAGACACAATTAGAGTGATTCTGGGAAAAGCCACAAACTATTCCCGAAAACCTTATCAACCACAGCTAATTTTACTGCTCAGTAAATGACAATTTAAAATAATTTTAAACTAGATACTCACAGGGCCTCTTCTGTGGCTGTGCACAGTGAAGTCAGGGCAGAAGAGCAGGTCAGCGATTGCAAGGAGCAGCGACTCGGCCAGAGGCCGGGCTCCATCGTCGTCGTCCAGCTCATCTGTCTGAAAAAAGATGGCCGCAAGGGCTTTATCTACATGCAAATATTGTCTTCTTTTTATGGAAAAGACTCAAAACGATTAGAGTAAAATGTTATGACTAAGATATATATATATAAATATAAAAAAATGAAATATACCACACATTCTGTTCATAGACTTCAGCAAAATGCATCTAGGTGGTTTAAGATATTTACTGGTTTCATATAACCACATCCCTTTATAATAGAACGTAGGTAAATTTAGAAAAATATGTTAAATTCTAACTGATTATATTATGAAATCACCAAAACTGCAATGTTACAAAAAAGAAGGAAAACCCAAAAAGTCACCAGCAAAAAGCACAAAAATATGAAAAGTAAAAAAATTAAAAAACACAAGAGATAACAAACAACATATGAGACTAATATAATAAAGTGATTTGAACAATGCCAAACAGACCGGTAGAAATGCAATATGACAAAGGTGATCTAAAATGTCCCAAATAAATACATATAGACAACCAGTAACAAAACCTTAAATAGGTGTGAAAAATGTTCAAGAATATTTTTGCTATTTAAACATTGCCTTCACTTACCCCTGCATGCCCAGCACCAGGCACTGTTGACCAGAAGAACCCCCTCCAGTCTTGGTCCTCAAAGATGTAGGGAAGAATCCGGGTCAGGATGCGAGTGCAGTTCAGGATCACCTGCTTCTCCCTCTCTGTGGGACAGCCAGACTCTGCTCCCTGTACCAGCTTCTCCACCGCCTATATAAATATAACACATAAAATGTTTTCCCTGATGCATCTTGGGTGCAAAAGTAATCAAATGTGCTATAAAACTTGGACGTGTTTGTATAAGGGAGCATTGTTTTGTTTAAGCAAACTCTTTCATCAACTCTGAAACTGATAACAAACCCAGGCAACAAGCCATGGCTCTCCTGCTTGCTATTTAATTATGCTGCCTGTGTCTGTTTTGCTTCAGATAGGAAGCTGGGAATACGAGAGGCAGGAAGCAAAGAAAAGGGAAGGGGAATTGACTCATTTTTTTCCCACATCTGAGGAAACAAAATCCTGCAGCCTTTTTTCATCATTTCACTTCAATAGGGACATCCTCATATAAACCTGTTATGTATGGTATTTCAGTGTGTACCTTATAACAGAGGGTTGCCAGGTTTGAGGGGGACTCCTCTCGAACAGCTCTTATCTCTGCAGCTGGCACTAAAGCGAAAACATCCTGGACTGTGATGGTGGTGTCTGTCCAGAACTGATCCCAGAAGGCATCCTCTGTGGCTTCCACCGGCTGAGGACATCATGAACCACAGATTCACCAGATGGATCACATTTCAGACACAACATTCATATATAATGTTAATCTCTTTTTTATTTAGCAGAGGGACTCGTTCAGCATTATGGTAAACAAAAAAAGACAATGAACATTATGGCAGTGTAAACACACTCCTGCTTGTTTTAGGGAGATTGGACGCTTTTGCGCACCAACCTCAGAGTCCACCTGCCGCATCTGCAGACGTGTTTATTCCCGGAATGACGTCATCAGCTCTGATTTTTGCCCAACGCCACTGATTATCATCGTCAAAAACTGAATATGTGGGCTATTGTCATGAAACACGATTATCCACTTTTTATTCATACCACATAACACATTCTAAAAGCGCCGTTTAACGATACAATTCATGTAGAAACAGCAAAATTCAGCAGAAATTAAAGGCTTTGTTTTCCAGGTCTGTTTGCTGATGGAGATTGATTTGGTTCTGCTGCTCTATCCCGTCTCCTCGGTGATGCTCCTGGGTGCGCTTCTAGGCTCTAATGGCAATGATTTGTTCAGACCGCTGAAGCTCATATATACCTGCGTTTTGGTCGTGAGCTGGATCACCGCTTTCCTGAAATTCAGCTTTGAATCGCTGCTGCCCATTGCGGTCGATTCCCTTCAGACACGCAAGTCTGCTGCCGCTGAGAATCCCTGTTAATCTCACCTCCTTCCTACGCTTGAGTCATTGGCGGAGGCGTTTTCTTTTTTTTTTTTTTTACTTAACTATTGGCTGGCCGGAATGTATGGAGCGCCAAAGGTGCCTGATTGTTTAAACCGTAGAAATCTTTAAGTAAAATAAAACTTTGAATTAATAATGAATATTTGCTTTAACGAGCCACTAGTTTATTATTTTAAGAACTAAGAGTAGAAATTAATTACTTTAATGATAAAGTTATGATATATTTAAACTTTAAACTTTTCTCCCGGTGCACAGTATATATATTGCGAAAACACTTTACAGTACAATATTTTATTTGTTTTTTTGTTGTTGTTTTTTTATAATTTTTTCCACATTTTCTGACCACTTCTGCAATAATCTTTAGCTGCAGTAACACCACGATTTCCCCACTGTGGGAAAACAAAGGGATTTTTGTATTCTAATAATTTCCATATTATCATGAGCATTTCATAACTCTTTTACTTTTTCATAAATACAAATACTGTTAAAAAATATTAAAAAAAATAACAAATTACAGGATTAAATAGACAAGCTTTTGGCTAAAAACAACAAAAAAAATAAAATAAAAAAATGAAAAACTACCATAACTGTGCATTTTCCAATGTCAATTTAGCTATTCCTAATTTAAAACAATCATGAGTAAACCACAAACAAATTATATATTGAAACCTCCAGACCATCTTAACAAGCTTAACAATAAAACAAAGGAAAACAAAAAGGATTCTATACCAATTTTTTTTAAAACAAAACTATGTGGTAATTCCTAAATAATTGCATGCCTTGAGCTGAAATATATGGTTACATTATATGAAAGTTAACATAACAAATGTGAACTTAGTTTATATGCCATTATCAGATATCTACATGCATGTTATTTTAACAGATTATTTATTTTAAATTGATAACACTTTAATACTAATGTGATTAAAATGCATTGTTTGATTTTGCAGTATAGAAATAGCTTTTAAATGACTTATTTGTTAGGAAAAAATACAAAGAAAACCTTTGGAAAGTCACGTTGGATTATGAAAATGTCGGTATTTTTTCTAGATTCTACAGTTTTGGCTTCACCCATCAATGAGAGCACTCTGAGTCTTAAAGCTAAAACAACATGAGAAGTGCAACTGTGGACTAAAAAAAAGAGAAGTGTACCAACATCCTTTATCATTTATACAAAAAATATATACATAATATCAACACAAATATAAATAGATTACGAGCTCCAAGACGGGATCTGGTTCTTCTCGTTCATATAAATGAGTTGGCAGATTAAATCTAATCAGACACGGAAGTTTCATCAGTCGTCGACGCGCAGCCGCAGTGAGTTGTAAACACAACAGTTGCGGTTGGCTGTGTATGTTCAGTAGCTAGCGCGAGCTAAAGTCCAGGACATTATTTTGGCTCTAACATACACGAACATTGGGATTTAAATGACAGTACCGTGAGGAAATGCTGCTCTTTATAAATCAGTTTTAAAATCCCGAGGAAAGATTCCTAATATATAGAATAAAACGTTAGCTCGCTGTGACGTTAGCGTTAGCTCCTAACCAATGACAAAGCGCCTGAGAGGAATTGTTAACTAGCTAGCAAGAACGTTTATGTGTTTCTCTGTTCAACGCTGCTTATAGTTGACTATATTTCTTAAAATGGCAACATATTGACGTACCAGCGTATTAAACATGGACTATTGTATACTCATTTTATTTGGTGTAATTAGTTAGTTTGGGAAAAGTTAGCTTAAGCAAAGCAATAGGCCAGTAACAGACATCTTGAGACGATAAAGAAAAACACGAATAATTACTTCGGATTTAAACAACCACGGAAGCTTCTTCGTTGTCATATGTTGACTGAAAACAGGTGAGTTATTTCTGTATTTTGCCTTTATGGGTATTGCAGGTTTAAAAAACAAAGTGCATTCAAACCTCGCAGAAGCCATTTTAGGCAACGTAGATTATGCTTGAAAGAGGAGCGGTTGTTTATGCGCTGAGTCCTCCAAACATAACGGTACTGGCTCCATGGTTATGAAGAGGATATTTGGACTTTTCGGTGGTCTTGCATATTTATATTTTGTGCGAACCCATACGTTCAATGTTTCTTTTTTTTGTTTGTTTGTTTGTTGTATTTTTTAAAGACCAAGGCCATAGGGTGTAGTTAAATGATGCATATTTATCAGAAATTGTATACCATTACAACAAAAAAACTGGATTGTATTTATATAGACTTACACCCTGTAGCAAATACTGTGTTTTTTGCAATTCTAGCAGGATTTATTTTGGGATTCAACTCCATTTGGAGACTTAAATGTTGAAAATGTTACTATAAATAGTTCAAGCTCTGTCCAGCTTGATATAGAACAACTGTAAAGATGGACTGTTGGGATTCTCCACAGATTTCCAGGGAGAATTCGCTCTATACTTTGGGACCTTCTAACAGATATATGTTGGCTAATGTAACTCATCACCCATTGCAGCTTTTAGGCTGTATGTTTACCAAGCATTGGACATTGTTTTCTATGACTAGCTTTTTTTCTGGAAGGTGTCCCACACAATGAATCTTAATGGTCGCCGTCCAACTTTAAGGTGATTGTAAACCTCGGTTTCAAGTTATTTTCAGCCTCAATGAGATAGGGCAAAAGTAATTTCCCTCTGGGATTATTAAACTATTTCTGATTCTGATTTTCTTTTTTAAGTAGAACCTCATTCATTGTCACAATCAACTCTGAACAGCACCCTTGTTCCTACTGAAAAAGTCTGTCCCCACAACATGATGCTTCCACCACTATGTTTTACTGGTGTGTTGAGTTCTTATCTGACTAGAACACCTTCCTCTATGTGCCCTCTGTGGCAAACTTTGTAAGGAACTTGACATGTTTTTTTCTTTTGCCAAAGGTGCCGTCCTCTTTACTCTTTTTATTTTCTACATACATGACTAATAGTTATCTTGTCAACAGATATTTTTCCACATGAGCTGTGGCAGTGACATAAATGTACATGTAATTTTACTTGTCAGGTTGTTGTTTGCACTGGATTTATTGAGAGATATCCAAGTAAAGAAGGCCTTTTTTTTTTTTTTTTACTTTTAAAGTAGTTTGGAAACCATGCTGAAGATGTTTTCTATTTTACATTGGTGCAATACTTTTTTTTGGTCTCCAAAATATACATGGGACTGTATGGTTGTAACATGACAAAATGTACCCTTGAATCCATTCAAGTAAGAACCCTTAAAGGTAGTTTCCTTGTTGAATTTTTAAATGTATAGAGTCCAATGTAATGATGTGAACCTCACACATTGTTAGGAGAGTATATTTTATTACTGTACCTTTTATCTCAGTTTCAGGGATTTTACGTGTATTTCTTTTACTGATGCAGGAAGCGGCAGCACAGCGGTGGTGATGAGGAGAGTAGCCACCTGGTGCCTCAAGCCAAAAGGCAGAGCAGAGCTCATCCTCTCTCCCCTGAGCCAGGTCGGGATGCTTGGGACTCAGAGGTACTCTTTCTTTATCACTCTCTCTCTCCCACAGCATAAAAAGCGTTTGGATTTCTCTTTGTGGGAAAAAATGAATGAGTCCAGCTGTAAAATGTGTCACCTAGAGGCTTAATTTTCATTTATCCAACAGACATCCAACAGTGAGAGCAGCAGCAACATAAGCAGTCCTGAACATGCAGCTGGGAGTCGGTGTGCTTTGGGCCCCTGCAGTCCCTTCAGCTCCGGCTTCTCGTCAGAGCTGGGTGGCCCAGCGAATCAGCTGTCATACCTGCAGATCAACCGCATCCTCAGGGAGGCTCACTTCCATAGCCTGCAAAGCCGAGGTCAGCTCAGAGACCCGAGATGAAATAAAGCTCTACTCTGGGATGCCAAAGGACTGAAAATGTGTCGCAGCATCATTTGCCGATGGTTTCTTTCAGCTCTCCCTCTCCCATCTTCAGTCATTGCAACATATCACAGTTGTACATATATGTGGGTGGAGGAACAGTTCATTTCTCACATAGATTGCAATGTTTTCAGTTGAGCAATAACAACTATAACTGTGATCTACTCCAAACATTCTATAATCCACTTATTTTTCTGACAGATCCGATTTACCAACTGCTATGAGAGCCTTACTGTGTACAGGATTGTTGGTTCTCCTGTGTCCTCTTTAAATTGTAAATTGAAAAGAATAGAGATGCTGAAGTGCCACCAAAAAACAAACAAACAGGTTTTGGACCAGTCAGGTGGGAAGTGTTTAGTCTTACAGTAGGGTACTTGCAGAATCGGAAGGCTGTGGGTACATGGACCAGTCTCAGGGAGGATGTGTCTTAGCCTGCTCTCTTGCTTTCATATTTTGGGGGTGGGAGGGTTAATTTGGGTAGAACTATTACAATGTTATCTGCTAGACTTCAAATTAGTTAAAGACAAGCCATGTCATAGAACTTAGGGTTTGTCGTAGTGCTTCAAAATTCTTCATGATCATCTCAGATCATGTTGAAGGATAACCCTACTTTGGTTGAAGTTTTCTCACACATTTTGTACTTTGTGAACAAACGCGATTATTATAATTTTTGTAGCCTAGTTCATCCCCCTGCTTTGATTTTTGCCTCAGGATCATGCTTTCTCCTGATCTGAACAACAACTTTGATGAGCTGGTTGTTAGAATCGCTTTGCTGCCTTATAATAGCTACATTCTCTGATCAAAGGTATTGAGTTCCTAGCAAAAGTCTTCATGCCTGTTTGACGTTTTATTTTTTGTTAATGTTATCCAGTCTACGCATCAGCCTGTTTTTTTTTTTTTATAGGTTTCGTTTCGTGCTAGAACAACTCAACATATTCCACCAATGTAAAGGTGAAAAACAAACATGGTTTTTCATATTTTTCGCAAATAAAAGATACTGAAAGTGTGGCATGATTTACCACAAGGTTTACCACAGGTGTTTTTAGGCATTTATATAACAATCCAGTACATTCTTATTGGCTATCATATCATTACAGCATATACTGCTTAAAGAAAAGAACCTTAT